TCGTCCTTTGGTGAACCTGGAGGGGCCGCAGAAGCCACGGCGGTGCAAGGTGGTTGGTTTGGAAGAGGCTATGGCAAAGGGAGGAAGAAGAAAAAAACAGCCTAAAGGTGAATTATGGACAAGAACATTGCAGCGTACCAGTGATGGATCAGCTGGATTCATCGTTCGGTGGACAAGTTGGGATTGAGGTGCTAAGGTTTTTTTTTTTTTTTTTTTTCCTTCATTACTTATTTATAATATGTAAAAGACTATCATAGGATTTTGATATTAAACGTTGTATCAGTGGCTTGATATATAACCAGTTATTTATTAATGAGAAAAAACTATTGGATAATGGCTTTGTGAGCACGGTTTATTTTTTGATCACCTTTGGATCAAAGGATGGGCTCACTATTGTGCGTCAAAAGCTATTTTCAACATGTTTACATTCAAAGGTCGCTGAGGTGTAAGGGTGCTCCCCTGGGATCTCTCGTGGCACTGGGTGTCATGTGGAACCACAAACTCCTTGTTCAAAGTATTTTGGGGACTCTTCCCTGTGCCGCCATTAGGTGTGGTACAATGTGGTATTATTGCACCTGTACATGGGTGTGTATATATACATATATGGTTGTTTGTACTTATAAATCGACAGATTAATTTTCCACAACCACTCTCCAAGTCTATGAGTAAGTCAGTGCAAAGTCAACTTTTACTTGAAATTGAACTTTAGAGTATTAGTATTGCATGAAACGGCAATAGCTTTATTTCACTGAGCATAATTCATAGAAATTCGCAGACATGGTTCTTTGTGCTAGTAAAGACATGTTGCTTCCAAGTGGTAAATTACGTCAACAAGCTTTGGCAGCTAGACCGATGACAGTTTTCCGACAGATGTCTTGGGTAAAAAAAAAAAAAAAAATCTTGTTGTAATGAATGTACCTAACTTCCATTTATTTTCACTTTTTGCTGATGTATGTACAGGATGGCAATTGATTTGCGGTTTACTGACTTCCTGACCTCACTGACCTGTGTTTAATCAAGTTGTTGATCAGTGCTTTTACATTCTCTTTTTGATTTAAATCAAAGAAGTAGAGGTCCAAGACTTAACTCCTAAGTTTACAATTTTTATTTTGTAGTTTGTTGCCATTTACAGAATTGGGGTTGAAGTACATAACACCCATTCATTTGTCTCAGGATGCTGACATTGTGCACCATTTTGTAAGGTAACGGGGGGCCAAAGTAACCATATCGAGTGATGGGTCACCATTACTAACATTTGTGCCATAGTTACATGTGAAGATTATGTTCCTTGTGCATTTTGCAGAAAAAAATGGAAACATTCACCATGTGAATCAATAAACCATGCTTTATTTTGACATTGTTTTGTCATGAGACTTTTCAAGAGTTTTCTTACTGCTGGATATCACCATTCCCCCAATAATGTCACATCTTAATCTTGGATAACGTTAATGATCTAGGACATTTTTAATTGTTCAAAGACTCATGTATTCATGATGCAATTTATCTCTCAGCACAGTTAATCCTAACATCCATCCATCATTTTTTTTATAATGCTTGTCCTCTTTTTAGGGTGGTGAGGGAGCTGCAGCTTCTCCAAGCTAAATGCGATTCCATTCCCATTCACAAGTATGGACTCCGGAAGGGCCATTATGACTGACAACACATATATAAATGTACCGGTACTATCATGGAGAAAAAAAAAATCTAAAACCACCTTTGTTTCTTCCTTATCTTGTCCATCTTAAATGCCTGGTACAACTAATGATCGAATTCCCTGATTTTGATGGGCTTCCATTGCTACAAAAACACACTGGTGTTAAGTTTCTCACCTGTTTCACACATCCATTATCCCTCTGTTTGGCAATAAAATGGAATCAAGTACATTCAAAGTCTCTACCGTTGGCATTTTAATTGCCACAACTGCTACAATATTGCTTTGGGTGAAATCAGTTACTTTGGCAAGCTACTTTTGCCACAAAAACAAAATGGCATTGGGTTTCTTACCTGTTTCATAGACTACACCGCTTTTCAAATGGGAGACCCTTTATGAAAAATATCAATGGCCCAAAATAAATAAATGAAGTTCAAAGTATCCAACAATGGCATTTTTCCTGCACAGACGACACTATGGATTAAATCAACGATTTTGCTGGACTCGTCGCAAAAACAAAATGGTGTTGAGTTTCTCACCTGTATCACATTTTTTACCCCAGCTTCCTTATAGGACCCTTCAAAACCTGGCTCCAGGGGGTGGCTTAATGGCCCATGTCCAGGTGAGAGAAAACACCTTTCTCAACTCAACCCCACTCAACTGTATTTATAGAGCACTTTCAAATAGCCATCGCTGCATACAAAGTGCTGTACATGGAGCAATTCAACATATACAACAAACAGTAAAGCAAATCGGCAATAAAGATGGTAGAAAGCACCGAACAGCAAAACCAAGAACAAAACTAAGTCATGCTGAGTCAAATGCCAAAGAATACAAGTGAGTTTTGAGGCGGGTTTTGAAGATGGGCAGCGATGAGGCTTGCCGAATGTTCAGTGGGTGGTCATTCCAGAGAGAAGGACCAGCAACAGAAAAGGCTCGATCCCCTCTGAGCCTCCGTTTGGTTCTTGGTACTTCTAATAATGTCTGGTCCGCAGACCTGAGGCGCCGGGCAGGTGTGTAGGGGCGGATGAGAGGTAAGGTGGCGCGAGGTCATTTAGAGATTTGAAAACAAATAAGAGGATCTTGAAAAGAACTCTAAAATGTATAGGGAGCCAGTGAAGGGATGCCAGAGTAGGAGTTATGTGCTCCCTCTTACGAGTACCAGTCAAGAGGCGAGCAGCGGCA